GCGACAAATGTGCTGCATGATGTATCTGTTGATTTTATAACCTCTGTGTGTGTGTGTGTGTGTGTGTGTGTGTGTGTGTGTGTGTGTGTGTATGCTCTTATATTGCTCTAAAATGAGACACTGCATCTTTTCCAACTCTGGAGAAGAATAAAAAGGCAGACACTAAAAGTCTCCATCATCCATTCATTCATCCAACACCAGCACAATCCAAAATACACCCAAGAGCCGCTTAACACATTTTAAGACAAACAACAGTTAACTGCATGTTTGTACTTCTGCCATTCAACTGCCTCAGTGTCTCTCATTAGCTTATATATAATTGTCTTGATCTTATTTGAATAGCACTTTTCCAGCTGGGAGCTTCCCAGAGACGATGTCAAAATATCACAAAATTAGAAACAAATAACAAAAAAGGATGAACAAATTCAAGAACAGCTAAATAACCTGTAGAAGAAATGTACAAATAAATCACTAAAAAATAGAACAAATATGGATGAATTTTAGTTGTTTTTTTTTTAGGGTAACCAGGGATATTTGATGAGATTTGATGTGAATAAGTGCCTTCAAGTTTTATGGTTGATTACATACATAATGGATTTAATCCAAAGCAGCAGAAACAAGAAAACAACTTTATTATTTTGGTTTTATCCTCCTCGCTACCAGGAGACTACTTCGCCAGCAGAACAGCGGTTGGCGACTCCGGGAGACGGACCTTCAGCCGGAGCAAACCTCAGGGAGTCACGGCGGGCTGTGGGGGTCTAACCTGTGGGGATCCAGCTGGGATCGGGGGTGGTCCCCTGTGGATCGGAGCCCTGCTGCTGGGGTTTGCGCTGGCTGAATGAAAGTTGCTTCAGCTAACCGCTAACTTCCCGCCTAACTCCCGGCGAAGTATTCTCCTGGCGTTGGGTAGGAGGACGGACTCTGGATTTAATCCAATAAATACACTTTTAAAACGTGCACGAGCCCCGTACCTTCAACGTGATCGGCAAGCCCTACTCTACAGTGACTCACTATCGCCTCACCAGGCACAAGTGGTATTACAAGACAGGACAGGCCGGGCTAGCTGGTTAGCATCAATTCAGTCACCTCCGCAACACAACACACAGACAATTGATAGCTGATAAGGTTAATTCATTTTTTGAATGTTTTAAAGGACAATTCTGGCCAGATCTCACACATTGAACCCTTAAGTCAAACCAAGTCACTAAACTGTCCCATATCTTGGGGGGGGTCAAGGGTCAACACTCAAAATGTGAATAGTTTACAGAATCAGCATAGCAATAAATAACATATGGAACCACTCAGTGAAATCTTTTCACCGCTAAGGAGAATCTTTTCTTTACATACGATGCGTCTTCGTCACAAAGTCACAACACGTGGTTATAACTGAGCGTCCTGCCCTCACAGTGTGTCGGCTGTCGACAGGTTGTGTGTGGAGGCCTCACTGAAAGCAGAAATGTGACTTCACGCATGGAGAGCTCAGATAAGACAAATCCATTCTGAATATGAGATAATGAAGCTTCAATTATGAGGCCGTTCCCTTTGCTTGTAGACTCTCACACTCCTGTGATCACTGCAAAGACAACAATAATATCCAGAGAGATCCCATCTCTGTCTGGGATCACACAAGGTTTCTCTCTCTCTCTCTCTCTCTCTCTCTCTTAAAGGGCGACACAAAAGGCCTGAGGAAAAAACAAAATGTTAATTTCTAATATCAACGTTTCATCAATCACGACTCGAGATGCATGCACCAGAAGAATGTGAAATAAATGAAATGTGTTTTAGTTCACAGCCTCTGTGAAGATAAAGCAGACAATATGAAGATCCATTTTTTTTGGAAGATTCTTTATTTCTTCCCCGACAACAACTCTATCTCAGAGAATGACGACAATAGGTTTTAATTCTGTTCAACCCCACCAAACACACAAAGTGTGGCAGCATCTCAGTGTGATGATTAAAGTGAAGGCAGCGTGTGAGAGTTCTGTGGACTCCTCGGAGAGAAACGTGCTCCGATTTACAAAACAACGCTTCTTTGATTAACTCCGTTCCTGAACTCAAAGTCTCCGGTTGCTTCCACCGTAACAGTCCTGTGTTTAGGGATGTGAACGGTAAAGAGTGCTGCACGCTTAGCAGCTGGCACGAGTGAAATACTGAAACAAACAAACGTGATGATCCAAAAGTATCCAGCGGACACTCGATTGAATCCAGCACATGAAGGCGGTTCGTCTTTGAGGCGATGGTAAACAGAGCAGCTCTGCAGAAAGATGTTTGTAAATCTGAACGGCTTCATGGAATATCAGACAGTATTGTGGCCAAACGATGAAGTCTATTAAGTGTCAGACAGATGTGGGTCATTAAACGTCTCGTTTAAATGACCCACAGACAGATGTGCCATCTTCAAATCACTCCTTTTTGATCGACAAAGATATTAAATCTAAAAAGATATTAAAGAGAAAAAACTGAAAATTCTTCAGTTTGAGAAGCTCTTTGTCTTTAAAAAAAAGAAAAAGTTGATAAATGATTATTGATCATCAATAGTTGGCGATTATGTTTCAGCCGATGGGCTCAGGTTGGTCTTAAAGGGCTTTGCTATCTTCCCATCTGGACCTCGTTAGACCGTAGGTTCTGGTCTCTAAGGAACTGATGGGGACAGCTACTGTTCAAACTGGTCCAGTATTGAGGGAGGAGCCTCCTCACCGTCAACATACGTACACTAAGTGCTCGTTTCACTGACGGGCTCACATTGTGTCTGACAACATTATGGAAAGAACCCGACAGAGGAAAGGAGCCTTCTCTCTCTGTTTGTTTCTGTGCATGTGACTTTATGACGGTGGGAACCACAGACAGTTGAAAAGCGATGCGACAGGTTGTTGTGTTGAGTCCAGAGAGCGTAGCTCAGAGTTCAAAGATCTTTCAGGGTCATGACTACAGCTGCACGCGCTTAGTCCACTCAGGCTTCTTTTGTTTTATGCTGAATGACATATATACATTTCTCTGGTAAACGGAACATTTAAAGTCTTTGTAAAACCGAGTTTCTTAGTCAACGAAGAGTTTATTTTGTCGAGGACATGGTCGAACATTTAGCAAGATTTTTCCGAACTTTGTTAGACACAATTACAAACCGTTCCATTTCTCCTTGGGGTTCTTTCCATAATGTCGTCAGACAAACAATGTGAGCCCGTCAGTGGCAACAACAAGCCCTCTGAGTGGACGTAACGTTGAGCAGTTGCCAGAGAGATCAGCGGTGGTCTGCAGTGTTCCCCCTCAAACATTGTGGCCTCCATTAATTAAACATTAAACAGTTTTTTTTCCACTCAACGAGGAGCTCCAACAGCAACATGACGCCACGTTCCTCTGTGTGGACGCTCTGGACACAAACAGCCATTTAAATATCTTCAGAGCTCAAAAACCGGAGACAAAACACAGAATATGCAACACTTTTTATGGTGGATGAAACAAGCAAAACAACTTTCTTTTTTCCTTTTACATTTGAGTAACAGACAGGTCCTTCAAACCTGTGAGATAGCATCATGTTATTGTATTACTGCAGTGAGACCTCAAAGGGTTAACAACCTGTTTCTGTTGATCGTCAAAACCTCAAGTGAAGCTGGAACCTTTAGACCAGCAACACTACATGTGTTAAGTTCACAGAACACTTTTTTGGGGATTTGATTGTTGGATTTTTTAATGAGCCACTGTGTCATCGGGCTGTAACCAATCATTAGGCTGAATTCTGCTACCACAACTTTTAAAAAAATATACGTATTATTAAAGAGGTTTTTAAGACTTTTTCTTATTTTATTGCTCGAGAATCAACTTTTCTACATTTTCACCCACTTTGGAAAACAACACAACAAAGAAACACGCATAGTGGTATGATGGAAGTAACACGCTTTATACACGACGCCAGCAGAGACAAACTATATACTCAACACGACCATTATCTGGTTAGCTCAGTCAGAACCATCACTCAGGCTATACACGGGGTGAGCTGCTCCCAAATGCTGTTTGAACGGCTTTCGTCCAGGTGAGCAGAGTCAGACATTTTAATAATGGAAAAAAAGGTGCTTAAGAGAAGAACCCGGAGTTCCACACTTTGAGCAGCACCTGAGGGAAGACGTGTGTGTGTGTGTGTGTGTGGACATCGGTGACCACTTTGGCCCGAGAGTTCATTAGCGTGAAGACAAGTCCTTTGGGATCCCCCCCCCCCCCCGCCGGATGATATTTCATGACATCTCCCTGGTAACGAGTCCCTCCCAGAGCAGCAGCACCGTCAGCCTGCACTCAGACGTCTCACAGCCACCACTGCACACACAGAGAATCCAGCAGCTGCTTCTGCACAAGTGCCTTGAAACATTTGATTATCCCCTCTCACCAGCAGCTACAGTGAGAGTCCGCCGACACATTTTACCGGAGCTCAACTGTCTCGTAAACATCCGCTGCTGCTCCGAAACATTTCACGGAGGTTTCATCAGCAGCGAGGCGGGAAAGCACAAGCGTCTCTTTCCTTTAGGCCACGCAAAAGGTCAGCGAAGGAGGCCGCGCTAGAGAACGTCTAGGAAAGTTGAATGCATAT